GGCGACTAAGATTGTCGTATGAGGCGACTTTGTTTGTCGTAGAGGCGACGGTGCTTGTCGTATGAGGCGACTATGTTTGTTCGTAGAGGCGACTAAGCTTGTCGTATGAGGCGACTTTGTTTGTCGTAGAGGCGACGGTGCTTGTCGTATGAGGCGACTATGTTTGTCGTAGAGGCGACGGTGCCTGTCGTAAGAGGCGACTAAGCTTGTCATATGAGGCGACTATGTTTGTCGTAAGAGGCGACTATGTTTGTCGTAGAGGCGACGGTGCTTGTCGTAAGAGGCGACTAAGCTTGTCATATGAGGCGACTATGCTTGTCGTAAGAGGCGACTATGTTTGTCGTAAGATGCGACTATGTTTGTCGTAAGAGGCGATTAACGGAATCAGGCGGTCACGCTCGCTGAATTGGTTGATGCATGTTATCGTATTCCAAATGCGTAGATCGATGCGCATGATGTCAATCACTGGACTGTTTGATCCAGACTCAATTATTTACAGCCCGCCGTCATATAGCTAGACAATTGTCGAGTTCAGCGTTAAACAACAAACAAACAAACAAAAACAAGATTCTTCACACCAAAACTTTGATGATTTAAGTGTCAACCACTTAATGTCAACCATTGATTTAAGTGTCAATAAAATTACCACTTATTGTCATTATATAAGCAGCATGACTAACCAACAACATCTCAAATCAATGACACAATGCATCATGCGCGGCACACGACTGCTCATGCCTAACCATAATCCGAGTATGGGTGTCGGAGTGCAAGCACAATGAAAGAATGTGCATATCTGATAGACTCAAGCTTTTTAGATAGCGGTTTATGACGTCAAAGCTTCGTTAGTTTCCGGTAACATCATAATGAGGCTGTAGGTTACTGGTAACGAGCTCCAGCGTCAACCGTCAACTTGTCTATAGATTGCTGTGGATGGAATACACTCTCAGGGCTGAGTTACTCATTACGCTGACACCGTACGTTGATAGATATGCGCGCACAGACACGAGCACGGCTCCTTTACCAGAATAGAAGCAGTGTTGACTATATATAGATCTTCCCTGGTGAAAATAACAATTTAGTTTTTGTACATGCAGCACTGATGTCGTAATGACCTATTGTCAAAGCATGATTAATCACGCGAGAATAGACCAAACGGGGTCTTTTATAACGGAGTCTTTTGAAGTAGATTTGCAGACGTTGAACGAAAAAATGTGGTACAAGGTTATAAAGGACAACGCTTGTGCAGCTTAGCGAATAATGAGATGTAATCGACATTATATTAAACAGAACAATAAGCATAGTCAAGTTTTGAAATATGATGTTAGTGTTATCTTACCGAATGCATATTATCGAAATTTAAGAAAAAAAAAGGAATTTGGCATGAAAGGAAAACCTGAAAGGTTTGGTATAGATTAATGATAAGAGTGAGTGAGTGAGTGAGTGAGTTGGGTTTAGCGCCGCTTTTAACAGTATTCAAGTTATATCACGGCGTGTCAGCTTAATGTCGGAGGAAAGACCGAAGTGATGCAGGTCTCAGACGTTTACCACTTCGGTGAAACCCACGAGCACGGGTATGGAGCTGACAAACCTAGAAACATAATCGGGGCGAACCGGGATTCGAACCAAAAATCATAGGTTTCTGGCGTGGCAAAGGGACGGAACTCTGCACAGCGAATTGCGGCGCCTTAGACGACTGGGCCACCCGTGCCCCCGATTTATGGTAAGATATATGACGTGAATGTAATAAAACATGAGAGAGGTGCTTGAAACAAAACTCAAGGAACTCAGAGCTGTCGCGGTTTCTGCATTTGTTCTCCCAAGAATTCTATCACATATTGATTAATATATCAAGGACCATCTAGATTCCGACACCCTGGTGTCTTTGTAAGTTATTTTCTGAACAGTGTGTATCCAACAGAAGCAAAAACTAATTAAGTGTTATTGAGTATGTTTATGTTTGCATTTTCTTCAGTAATATCTTAACCAGAACAGTGTATATTGTTACTTTGTTACCAGGGGAGGCGCACTGTGAAATGTAATTAGCTATTTTATGCATAAAAGAATCTACACATAAAAGTACCGAAGCTGATATCTAAAAAAAGATCTAAACAATTTAGAAATGCCATACTGTCCTGCATTATTCCCCGACCCTAAAGCACTGACCACTTTAAGTATTTATATGTCATGTTGGCAGTTTACATTGTTGTGAATAAAAGATATCCTAAAAATATTAATTCATTATTTTTTCTGGAAGATTCAATTATATATTATATATTTTGTTGAGAGAGAGAGAGAGAGAGAGGGGGAGAGAGAGAGAGAGAGAGAGAGAGAGAGAGAGAGAGAGAGAGAGAGAGAGAGAGAGAGAGAGAGAGAGAGAGAGAGCGAGAGAGAGGGGGAAAATGAATTTAAATCCAGTTGCAAAAACCAACGACCAATCTTCTAATAACCTTCTACCTCTCCAATAATGGGACCCTGTAAAGTCAAATAATTCTTCATTGTAGATAGTGAGTCAGACGTTTAAAAGAGTCAGTAATAACACAGCACACGCAAAACAAAACAATTGAAAAAAATCAGTCGATCAGAAACCAAAAGAAAATAACGTAAGAGAAATGGACATTTTAAAATCTCTTAAGATGGAATTCTTCAGGGAACAAATCCAGAGACAAAGTTATTGTTCACCCAATTCCGTTTTTACTTTGTTAAGATGCAGCCATCGCAGTCCAGAGGAACTCAATCCCCGTGGGTTTTCAAATGTATGCTTGTTGTAATCTCTAGCGATTTTCTCACGAAAACATGTAGATTGCCTGCTAGTCAGTTCATTTAGTAACCATAGGGACGGTTGGCATGACAACGAATGACGTCAAACATTACCATTTTGTTGCCAGGCAGTATTATTAATTTTGAGAATCAAGTGGTAGTGATGGTAACAGTGAAGCGTAGACTGGTAAAAGTGGAGTAATGCTAACGGACTCGTAGTACGTGACAGTGGTGACAATTTGCTGACGTCCCCTATGGAGTTTATGGTGATCTGTACACGCGTGATTCATGCACATATAACGACCGTCAAACATGATAAATCATGACGCTGCATGTAATATACTGGTATGAAGGTCTTTGGTCTCGCATATTTAGTTTTGTTTAAGTGAAAAGAAGAAAACATAAGATTAAATTTATGAATGTTTGACGGAAAAGAAATCTAATATCTAACATGGATGGGGGAATGGAAATGTACAAAGTTACAAGGTATTGTCTAGACACACACTTCTGACACACAAAACATGTACTTGTTACAGTAACTGCATCGTTTGATGACTTGGTGTATCTATCGGTTATGACTGATTTCTTTACATTTTAATATTTATGCGAATGACTTAGCGTAGCGGCATTAATTGTTTCTATACATTTGTTTTGGATTAAATATTAAAAAGAAATCAATATATTTCATCATTGTAACTATTTTTTCGTGCAGTCTTTCAAGCACAATATCTTAAAAAATAATGTTGAGATTCTATATTATTTAAATAGTTTTGGTCTAACGATTGTAACTCTTGTTTCTGATTATCGTCATTTAACATATAATGGGTAGGTGTCTCGGCAGGATAAAAACGGCATCCACTGGGGGCATTTACGGACAAATATACAAACACAAAAGGTCACGTGGATACCACTTTCAGTGTTTACAAATAGACATGTCCTTTTCGATCGGCAATCGAAGCAGAATTAACCAATAGTAGTAATATTCCAAGAATCAGCTTCTCACTGGGGCCTTTTTATATTTTTTTATTATGCCAGACATTTTGACTGGAATGCATAAAGAAACAGATCAACAAAAGGGGGAGCTCATATTGGTGTCTATGGGGCGGATGCCTACACGTTGTTTAAATGACTTATCCCCAAAGTTCACTTACATAGACGTTACAAATGAGGTCAAACATTTCACATCTTGTTTTCTCTCTTAAAATGGCATTTGTTTTAATTCTTTTACACATTGCCCTGAACCTTTGACGATAGAGATTCAACTATATGGTCACAATCTTTGGTGTCAAATGCCCAATTGGATCAATGGATGAAGGTGTGATAGTGGCAAAGTTGAAGAATGTAATTCACTGTCAATTGAAAAATCAAATGTTTATAGCACTGACGTGTGTTAACATACTGGCCTAAACTAGGGTAGACCGATAAGCTCTGAGCCTCACGTGGAAAGACTTGACCTAAAGAAATTATTATGATCAGTTTTTCAACATAATCCCCTTCCACATCGAAACACTTTTGACAACGATGTTGGAGGGATTTTATCCAAGTTTCGTGGTAGTCCACAGAGACGAAATGGGCTCCGGTTAGAGCTTTCTTCGAACAGGAACAGATGGAAGTGTGGCGGAGCCGGATCAGGAGAATAAGGTTGATACTGAAGGAGTCCATAGACACACTCGTTCATTGTATAGTCATGGCAGATTTATGCACTGGCGCATTGTCCTGATGGAAGAACACATTCTATCTCAGCTTCCCATGTCTCTTAGTCTTAGTTTCATCCCGTGACTGACTCAAAAGTACAGCACATTTATATGCCCCGTGTATTGTCTGGCATTTGGAACAAGATAGTCCACCACGATGACACCATCAGCATCCCAGAACACGAGGCCATAAACCTTTCCAGCTGATGGTGCAGTCCTTGCCTTTTTTGGTGGTGGTGATGATGTCAAATGCTTCGCCTGTTTTGATTGTTGTTTGGACTCTGGAAGTCTGGAAGTGGTGAACCCAGGTTTCATCCACAGTAAGAAATCGTTGCAAGAACCTTTCTGGATAATCATCAAACAAAGCTAGATTATCAAGAAACATGTTGTGCCTGGTGCAATTGTGATCCGATGTCAAAAGCTTTGGAATCAAGCGAGCTGAAACGTTCTTCATTGTCAAAGTTTCTTCTGTGATAATGGAATATACCCTCTCCTGGGAAATGTTTGAAATAGCAATAAGACGCTCAGCCATTCGACGATCGGTCATTACCATGTCGTGGAGTCTCTGGACGATTTCTGGAGTTGCTGACCGTCACAGGCCTTCCAGGACATGCTCTTCCTGACACGCTTAAACTCTGCTGCCCACCTCTTTACAGTTGCATTGGAAAGGGCATCCTTCCCTAGTGTTGAACTCAAATCTTCATCAATGGCTGTTGATGTAAAACCCTTTTTTCAGCTTGTACTTGATAAATGCACGTTCATTTCCACAGATACCTGCTTATTGTATCGACTTGTCAACTGTTGCGCAATACCTTGTGTTTGTTTGTTAATTTGTTGTTTAACGCCGCCTATTCCAGCTATATGACGGCGGTGCAAATAACCAAATCTGGACCACACAATTCGGTGATGGACATAATGAGCAGCGATCCACGCAACTGGTAAACGATGACAAGCATCAACCAAGTCAGCGAGCCTGGCCACCCGATCCCGTTAAGTGCTTCTCACGACAAGAGAAGCTTTTAGGGCAAGCATGGGTTGCTGAAGACCTGTTCTACCCCTGATCTACACGGGTTCAATACCTTGTGATGCGCAGCACTTGTTAACCAACCCTCGTATGAGGCAATATTTGATCAGTCACTTATACCAATTTCTTTGATCAAACAATCAGTGTAGTGGTTATATGGTCGGTATCGTACATGAACTCTGCTTTTAGCAGATTATGGAAAGTGTTTTGTCGCTTTTATTGCGATAGTAAATACCCCTATAAAGCCTAAACACTATGTATTTACCTCACCAATACAATGTATTTTCCTAATACAGGATATTTATCATACCAAATTACAATCACGTCTTGAACTCGATTTCTTTGAATCATAACAGATTCGTCAAGTGCAAAAATACCATGACAAATATTGAAAAAGCAATAAATACTCCATACCATTTTTCTTGTTTTGAATGTGCAATGTCATGTTGAGAATAATCCACAGTATATTTAGGACCCATTGAAATGGCATAATCAAACGTCAGACATCTTTTATGATCACATTATCTTTAATAAAATTTAATATATTTTTGAAAATTGAATTCGAGTTACATGTTTTGGGAATCTCTCTCAAATGATTGCAATTTAAAAGAGAACGTTTTTGAATTTTTATCGTGATACCAATATGCAAGAAGAAATCCATTATATCCTTAGAAATGATACATCAGCAAAATCATTGTACAGATAAAATATGTTCTTGAAGATTATGTTATCACCCCAAATATAAATCAAATTCATTGACTGTTTCATTTCAGTATCTACATCTGCAGGCGCCCCCAGTGGAATGATACATTGTATGCTGAACTCGCATGCCTTAAGGGACATGTCATTTCTCAAGACTATATTCCTATCTCTTTTCCGCAGATCCAGTTCTGCCTCAGTGTTAACACTATTGGTAAAAACAAGTCTATTACACGATTATGGTTAATTACCAGCGAAGGAAAGGCTGTGTAAGCTATTATGTTTGTTTATATAGTATAGGTTTTGTTTATATGACATTTCCGTATGAGTGATGTGGTATAATTAAGCTCTATTTATGTCTGGGACACGAATACGTACGACAGATATATGTGCTCTGCTGGTATCCAGCAACGTTGGTGTGCAGGCATCAAATATATATCAGTCTAAACTAATCATATTCAGAATATGCTATTTATTGGTTTAAGGGGTGCTTCAAATTATTTTTAAAATATTTTTCCACTTATATAATTAGTTAAAACCACAAATACCTATGCTGTACATATTCCTTTCATATTCTTTTTGTGTTGTTGATTGTACGAAACTAGAAATTCAGGGTATTGACACCCTCACACGAAGAATCATGTCAGACAATAGATCCCACCACACTCGCGCTTCCTTCTATCGCTCATATTTACCAATCATTATGGAGGACGTGGTTTGATTAACGTTGGGGCTCTTCATGATAGAATTGTTTTGTGCACTTTTGCACACATTTATTTTTCTGATGATCCTCTTGTGAAGCATATCAAGACTCATTGTGAAAACAAGGCATTCCGCAGTTTACTTACACGAGCCAAGGGTGTGGGACATAATCTCAATGTCAGTGTTGATTATGTTGATGGTTCTGTACTGCTGGACAGTACAGAAATAAGTGTCAACAAAGTGAAGTGTCATATCAAGGCTTTTTGTTTGCTTCTCAGGACCAGTCACTTCCAACTCGAAACCGTCAATGTGTGATTTTGCATCAAAATGTAAATATGAAATGTGGACTATGTAATGAATTGAATGAGACTGTCCAACACATTGTCAGTGGATGCCCAGCTTTGGCACAAACATAGTATCTGAAGCAACATGATGGTTGAGCTCGATCATTTTATTACCGTCTTCGCCATGCTTGTGGTTTTGACACAGAGGTCCATCCATGGTACGACACAGAATATGTAGAGGGCGTCATGGAAAATGATAAATACAAAATTCTTTGGAATAGGCCCATTTACAGCCTCAGACGTATCCAGGCCAACAAACCTCATCTTGCTTTTTTTGATAAATCCAATGAAATAATTTATAGCACTGAATTTTCTGTCACAGATTGACAAGATTCAATAAAAGCATGGCAAATATGCAGACCTAGCTTTCGAGTTGTCCGACTCCCCATTGTTCTAGGTGCCTTAGGTTTTGTACCTCCCAATCTGTTGACTGACATTGGGAGAGTACCCGGGTTTGCTACCAGGAATACAGCCCTTCTGACAATCTGGGTAATACAGAAGGCTGCAGTGTTGGGGAGTCTTCACATTCTCCGAAAAGTTCTGGGTGGGTTTGACTAGGCAGCACTTTCTGGGAGAAGTCCCATTCGCTGTCTGGGCTGCGTGTAGAGGGGGCAAGGGCCCTGAGTTGTTGATGAGCCTAACCAGCTTAATGTGTAAATAATAATAATAAATATTAATAATGATGCGTCTTTATTCGACCTAAAAAGATGCAACTTTGCGCTTTCAAAACATAACATAACTATTATAAATTGGATATGTCCAGCTTATTCAAGGAATGATTTTAATACTGTTTTCCTGGCGAAAGTAGAATTGTTGTTGAGAACGTTTTGTTCCCACTTGTTGAGTTAGTTCTTGGTCTTGGGTCGGCATATTATCGTTGTTTGCAAAGACGTGATACTGGAATTCAAAGTGAAGCTGTCGACGGCGCCTTCCATTGTCTGTACCTATTGTTTACGGTACAAAAAGTGTAGACTGGGAATTGCAGCAGCTTGAAAACTAAATTTAACGGAAACGAAACACTGGCATGGTTTTTCATGCAACGTGGTACCTGACGTAATTCCATTTTTTCAAAACTAAAAAGAAACACGGCTCTCCATTTTTTGTATGACAATAATTTAACAAACCAAACCAAATTATCGAATTTCTTTACCAAGGAATTAAATCTGTTTTATGAGAAGTGATATACATAGTCCCTTAATACAAATTCAATGTTTGATTCATATCATATATGCTCAAAATATATTTACAGAACTTTGCTTAAAACATTTTGCCTTATTCGCCCAATGGAATCTGTTTCGGCATATAATCCAAATTATTCTCTGGCATTATCCGTTTATGTTTCACAATGTTATCAAACTTAGATCGTTTCTGGTTTAGGTAACATAAACAAATTGTTTTGTTTCAAAGTCAGAAATATCTGAGTATTCACATACGACAAGTCTTAAGAAACCTTAGGTGGGTAACATTAACGAAATTAAGGTTAATTATGAACATACTAATATTTAAAAACAACATGAACTGGTTTTTGATTTTTTAAAGAAATATCTTGAAACTTAATAGTTTTAAGCAATACTCCTTGTGTAAGCAATATGCCTAGTCAAAGGTTATAATTTAATCTTTATAATGATATAAATCTAATATTTTTATTTTTAAACAGTAAAAAAAATAAAAACATATTATTCCAATTTTTTAAATTTCAGCAAATTGTCTTGTTAATGAGAGAAAATAATACTTTTTGTTCTTGATAAAGTGTACCTGCGAAAACTAATAGTGTTTCTTCCTTAAAATATATATCTGACTCAGATATGAAATGTGTAGACACCCACCAGCCTGTTGGATTCTCATTCTTCCTCTGCGACAAGCTAACAAATCAGTTCTTGCAAATACCAATGTCTCCTCCCGACGATGTCCATTATGGGGTTCTCTTCTACACCGCCTTCCATGGTCTTATGGTATGACGTATGAGGAGATTCTGGCTTTGTGTGTTGATTATAGAAGAAGTACAGCATGGCAGTAATTGCGTTCGGTGGCTATGGAGAAGACATGACAACAAAAGATGTACCACAGTAAGCACCTTTCGTAAGGACATGAAACGGAAAACCAAAAATGAGCATTTCCTAGCTAATCCCCCAAAACGAGCAGAGGTTCATATAGATATAAAGTGAATCATTGACAGCAAATAGATGCACAACTCGCCATGCCGAGTCTGATGCGGATCTTCTCAATGTACAGAAAGCTAAAAAAGAAGCAAAACAGTGACCAATAGTTCTCATCGGTGAAAACACAGCCCTCCTCGTTCTTCTTTGCTATCACGCCGATACAGAGTCAGAGCTTTTTGTCAAGTCAGACGTAAAACGTGGAAAGCAGAAGCAACAGGATTTGGAATATCAAGAGATATGACCTTAGCCCCTGCATTTGAAAGAGCATACTGTTTGTTCATGCTGTACTTGGATGTGACACAGCACATAGGCGGTATGGACTGGGCAATGGACTTGCTCTAAAGAACATCAGCCAGTGTTTACATTTTCGTTCTCTGCCAATGATATTTCGTAATCCTTAGTCTTCACATGAGATGTTGCCAGCGCGACACGAATATACGCCCTAGTATGGATATATGGAGGAAAACCTGGCGTGACACTAGACTCAGGTACAGGACATTTTCTGAAAGCTTTAATGTGTGTCCAGCCCTAGTCATTACCCCCTTCACAAAATGCTGCTCGCTTTCACAGCTTCAGTGTGTTCTACCAGAATTGGCAGACAGATTAGGTGATATGAACCCTGCAGAGTGCCGTTGGAAAATCTGCCAAGGCAGGTTAATACTTATCCAGACAGATATGCCATCGGCTCCACAGTCACCCCTGAAAGTAATCAACTTTATACTGTAAATTGTAACTGTAAAACTGAGGGTACGTCCATGAGAAGTCCTTGTTGGAAGCATGAG